CTTGAGGCTAAGAGAATAGGAGATAAAGTGAAGATCCCAGAAAAGTGGCAAGATCAAAAAGAAACGGTAATGGAGGAGATCATACATGCTAAAGCTACTCAGGTACCGGAACTTCGCGAGAAACTGGAAAATTCAGATGCTAAAACACTATTCGCCGAAGCAACTAACGATATATTCTGGGGAACCGGGCTATATCCAGATGCTACCCTCCATACGAATCCGGAAAAATGGCCGGGCAAAAACCGGCTAGGACAGATTCTGGGTAGGATAACATCAAAACTTACAAAAAGACTCAGAAGTACCTCACTTCCGAAAAATAAGAACCCAGACGAAAATCAGACAAATCTGGACGGCTTCATTCGGGAGGCCAGGAGAAACTCAAACAGGAAGAGAAATGTAAAGGACCAGGGGTAATTTAGCAAATATAGCTTTATGTAAATGAGTACAAACTTACTAACATTCTATTCTATAAACGCTCGTGGTTTAAATACTTATAGTAAAAGGATTTTGTTGTTTGAATGGATTAAAGATGCAAAATTTGATATAATTTTCTTGCAAGAAACACATTTTATTGAAGCAAATGAAGTAATTTATAATTCACGTTGGTTTGGGTATAAAATTCATAGTTTTTCTGATTCAGTATATAGTAGAGGTGTATCTATTTTGTTTAAAGAGAATCTTGATATCGAAATACTAGATAAACATTCTTCGATTGACGGTAGAAAATTATTGGTAAATGTTAAATTATCTGAACAAATTTTAAGTTTGGCCAATTTTTATGTGCCAAATAAAGAAAATGACAAAATCATATTTTTAAATAAAATGTTGAAATGGGTCAATAAATATGCTAAAAGCTTAGATAACTTAATAGTTTGTGGAGATTTTAACTGTCAGATAGATATCATCGAAAATAATAGAAATGTAAAGGCTCTTAGAAACTTTGTGAAATCATTAAATTTGATCGACTGTTGGTCCTTTAGTGATAAAAATAACGAACAGGGGTACACGTGGTGTGATGGGGAAAATAATCCAAAATCTAGAATTGACTACGTATTTACGTCAGAAAGTTTCTGCTATAGATTTAATCAAATTTTATTAAGAAAAGCTCCTAATTATGACGGGACAAGATTTAGTGACCATTTAGGTTTATACTTTGATTTTTGTACCGCAGAAAATATTAGAGGGAGTGGTTATTGGAAAATGAATACGTCACTTCTCAACAAAGAAAAATTTTGCAATGAAATGAGAAACTTTATTAAACAAGAAATATCTAGAATTCATGATCCTGATCCGGTTTCTAAATGGGAATGCTTGAAAAAATCAATTAAAAATTTCACAATAGCCTATTCTAAAGAAAATGCCGTATCCAAAAGAAAGCGAATTGATTTCATTGAGAATCAAATTAAAATATTGGAAAATAAACCCTACTCGCATATAAATATGAGATATAAAAAACAGCTTGAAAATGAAATTGATGAATTATATGCACAAAAATGTAAAGGGGCTTACATAAGATCAAGAGCTATCTGGATGGAAAAGGGCGAAAAAAGTACTGCATATTTCTTAAATTTAGAAAAAAAGCAACAGGGCGACAATACGATCAATAAAGTTACTAATGACGACGATATTGTCTTTATGGAAAATGGAGATATTATGAAAGCTTTAGTCGATTTTTATAATAAATTATATGAGAGTAGAAAAATCTGTGATCAAGATATTGAAAAATACCTTGAAAATATTGAATGTCCTAAAGTTAGTGAAAATGATAGAAATAACTGCGATAAATTACCGACCATGTCTGAGTGTAAGGACGCCATTCATCATATGAAAAATAACAAATCTCCTGGTTCTGATGGACTTCCAGCAGAATTTTATAAAATATTTTGGAATGATATTAAAGATATATATTTCTCATGTTTAATCAAAAGTATTGAGATCGGAATTCTACCATTCTCACAACGAGACGCAATACTCTCCCTTATTTACAAAAAAGGTGAAAAAGATAAATTAAAAAATTACAGACCTATAAGTCTCACAAATGTGGACTATAAAATTTTTGCACAGATTTTAGCTTTACGATTACAGCCTGTTGCTAAAAAAATAATAGGAAAAGAACAAAGTGCATATATCAAAGGAAGATACATTGGAGAAAATGCGAGACTGATACTTGATATATACGAGCACTGTATGAATCACGATCTTGATGGCATATTGTTATTCTTAGATTTCGAAAAAGCATTTGACTCTGTTGAGTATAACTTCATGTTTAAAACATTACGAAAATTCAACTTTGGAGAAGACTTCATTGATATGATCAAAACTCTTTATAATAATCCTACGTTCAAAATTAAAAATAACGGCTGGATTTCAAAATCTTGCTCAATGAAAAGGGGAATACGTCAAGGATGTCCGGTATCTGCGCTTCTCTTTATTTTCGTATTAGAAATACTTGCTATCCAAATTAGAAATAATGAAAATATACATGGCCTATCATTTAATGAGAATGCCTCAAAAAATATTAAGATAGTCCAACATGCTGATGACTGCACAAATGCCTTAAAAGACACCAATTCATTGGCAACTACTCTTAATATTATTCACCATTTTAGTAAAGTTGCTGGTCCGAAACTTAACTTATCTAAAACTGAATGTATCTTAACTGGTTCCTTAATTGATGAGTATTGCAATAATAACGACCTATACGGTGTAAAAATTGCAACTGAAAGTGTTAAATCTCTTGGAATATATTTAGGTCATAATAAAGACGTGTGTTATGAAAAAAATTGGCTAAGTAAACTTGAAAAACTTGAAAAAATCTTAAGTGTTTGGCGAAAACGCAACTTAACAATATTTGGAAAATGTACAATAATAAATACTTTAGCGGTATCAAAGCTTGTTTACAATGCGTTTATTTTACCTAATCCAGATAAAGAATTCTTTAAAAGAGCTTCAAAAATCATTTTTAACTTTCTGTGGAAAAAGAGAGAGAGGATTAAACGAAATACATTGATTGGTAAAATTGAACAAGGAGGAATAGGAATCGTTGATATTGAAAGTAAATTTTCTGCTGCGAAAGCTTCGTGGGTAAGAAGAATATTGGATAAAGATACAATCACACACTTTACTTTAAATAGTCTATTGGAAAATAGTAATTTATCTATAAATGATATCATTAAAACAACGAGTTGCAATCTGAATGATAAAAAATTCTGGGAATTGACTAATTTCCCACAGTTTTATGTGGAAGTATTTTCAATGTTTAATAAGTGCAAAAAAATCAAACAAAACAACAAAATTCTGAAGGAAGAATTTTTATCCCAATTCATCTGGCACAATAATTTATTCCGATATGATTCTAAAACATTATGTTTTGAACAATGGATCAAGAGTGGTATATTATATGTAAAAGATCTTTTTGATGAAAACGGTGAAATACATGCAATAGATTACTTTTGGGATAAATTAAAATGTAAAAACAATATTTACTGTGAATATATTATGCTAAAAAAGACATTAAGACCTTTTAAATCAAGGCTTGATTGTTCCTATGCCAATTATATTAACATTCATAATAATGACTCGTTTTTGTTTAGAAACAATTGTTTTAAATCGATCAAATCTCTAAAAAGTGATTTTTATTATTCGGTCTTAGTTCAATCCAAATTTCAGAATTCAATATATGAGAATAAGTGGAATAAGTATTTCAACATAGAAGATAAATCATTATGGAAGAATATATACATTTCAAAAATTTGTAATATGTATGACAAAAAGATTGCAGAATTCAATTACAAACTGATTAACTGTCTGTTAAATACTAATATAAGTGTAAGTAAATGGAATAAAGATGTATCACCAATGTGTGAGTTATGTAATGTATCAGAAGATAGTGAACATCTTTTATTTTCTTGTACAATTACAACATATTTGTGGAGGAAAATTAGTATATTTTTAAAATTTAATGTTTCATGGAAACGTGTTATGTTGGGATTTTTTGGTGATTTATCAGAGAAAACATGTATTTTGAATAATCTTATCTCATTTATTTGTTTTACAATCTATAAATATAAAATGAAGAGTCGATTCAATAATGAAAGAATGTCAGAAGAAAATTTGAAATCTTATGTTAAAAATTGGCTTGTTTTACAAAATTCTATTGTGAAAAAAACTGGTAAAATAAGAAACAACATGTACAATGACTTAGCAAATTGTTTATGAAAAAAAATTATGGTGTAGACAATGACATATCCAACACATGAAGAAACCAGTCTTCATGTGTGGTAGCTAGGGGTCCTCATTATGGACAGTGCTGGTGTTGAATAGGACTCCCTTTGCTACCTGGATTCAATATTTATTTATTTCTCCCTATGTATTATACATTCTATGTTTATACACTCTTAGAATAATTGCATTAAATTGAACAGATAAATTTGTGAATGTTATAAAAGAAAACAAAATGCTTATTATATACCTATGATACGTATGATCATGATATATATATTTATATATTTTTCTTTTCTTCTCTATAGAAGTAATATAACTGCTGAACAGATAAATTTGTGAATGTTATAAAAGAAAACAAAATGCTTGTTATATACCTATGACACATATGATATATTTATATATTTTTCTTTTCTTCTCTATAGAAGTAATATAACTACTCTGATATGAACATAAAAAAGATTAATTGTGATGTATGTTACAATTTATATCCACTATGTTGTATATTGCATATGCTTTTAATAAAAAAAAAAAAAAAAAAAGAATGTAAACAGAAAAAGGTTTTATGCCTCCTCTTGGATTTGAACCTTGTACCACTGGCATGTCAGTCCAGTGCTCAGCCATTTGAGTAAAAGGGTTAATCCTATAGCTCAATTTAGCTCGTAGGAAGCAGTGGATCTCACATTTCGGTATTTTGCACAAAATATGTTTAAAATTTTACATTTAAAGTGAATATACATGTAGCTGTACTCATAACTCTATTTGATTTAAAATTTCAGAGGAGACGTTTAACATTGTTATCAGCAACTGCAATGTAGTACAGATAGGGGACGGGTCTGCCCTTCATACATCCAATATCAAAGCTCAGAGGTAAATATATCTATAACATAAATAAACTAGTGCTAATTGTAACGGGGACCGTTACAGATGTTCCCCAAACGCTCCCCAACTTCCTTTTGGTGCCACATTCCCTGTAAGCTTCATTAAATAAGACTAACTCTATGCATTTGAGGCTTTAACAACATTTACCCAGAAAGTACCAAGTTCATTCAAATTTTAGAATTCCACGCGTGCGCATGTGAATGCATGTGCGTAAAGACCATATCATCTTGTCTATACAATCTATATATTTCAATATACTAAATATTAAAGTATTTAATTCAAAAGTATAAAAAAAAAATACGCTCATTAAACTGTATTTTTGATTTTACTCATTTCACGTAGAAGCACGTGCATACATGAGCATGGTGACCATACCTTCTTGTAGAGGTCCACTACATCTATCTATGTTCTAATTCCCACCCCGTTTGATTGAAAACCAAGGGAGTTATAGCTGTTTAAAGTTTCAGCCAATCAGATTGCAGTGCACGTACACGCACGTGTATGCATGTGCATGATGACTATACCATCTTGTAGAAGTCCATTATATCTATCTATGTTCCAAATCCCATCCTGTTTGGTTGAAAACCAAGGGAGTTATAGCTATTTAAAGCATAAGCCAATCAGATTGCAGCGCATGTGCATGCACGCGTTTTCATGATAATTGCTATAAATCTTATTGTAGGATATCCTAATACATGCCTATGTTTAAAATTTCAAAGGATTTCATCAAAAAACAAGAAAGATATTGAGACTTTAGTTTCAGCCAATCAGAGCGAAGCGCACGTGCATGCGCGTGAGATCTTACTTTCTTGACCATGTCATTTTGTTTATGCTTCTAATATATACTTATAATATGAGTTTCAAAGCATTTCATCAATAATTTAAATAGTTACGTCTGTATCAATTATATTGGACATTTCTCGTGTTGCACGTGCGAGCTCTTGCAAGCACATGTGCATGCACATGCTTTCATGATAAATCTTATAATACAGGCTGTAGATCTCCCTAATATATGACTATGTTCAAAATTTCAAATGATTTTATCAAAAAACAAAAAAAGATATTGAGACTTTAGTTTCAGCCAATCAGAGCGAAGCGCACGTGCATGCGCGTGCGATCTTGCTATTTTGACTATGTCATCTTGTGCTTACTACTAATTTATCCTTACATTATAAGTTTCAAAACATTTCGTCACAAAATAGAAAAGTTACGGTTATATCCATTTTATATTGGTCATTTTAAGTTTTGCACGTGCGCGCTCTTGCAAGCACGTGCGCGCAAAATGAACTTGATTCCGCAAATCTACATAACATGCCTACTTACCCTAAAAAGGTTTCACCTAAGTCGGATGTGTAGTTTACAAGATCACTCGCGGACAAAATTTTCCCAGGAAGAAAAATAAGAATAAGAATAATAACTAGATGAGATCTCGTTGCGAGCAACGAGTAGGTCTTCCGTTAAATTTCTAGATAAGATGAGATGTGATTTTGACTGAGATATTCGTTAAAAGAGAATGACATTAAGTTTTTCTTCATTAAATTTAAAGTTTCTGTTTTTTATCCAATATTCTAAACATTTTTTGTTCAATATTGCTTATAAAAATACTCCCCCTTTTCGAGACGTAAAGCATAAAAAATATAGCATTTTGGCCCCTGGTGATCCCTTATTACATAACATATGATCAAAATATTATAACATATTGTTGCATATCGTTAAAATGAATATCTTTGCTTCTCAAAATGTATACTTATTACAAAATATGGATCATTAAAGAGTTAAAGACTTCTGGCCCCTCTGAGCCCCTAATTTGATGAGACGGCCCCTTTTTCTTGATATCAAACGTTAGGTCTTGTGATTTCAAAGACTTTTTGTTATACACTTGTTTAGAGATTTCTTTTCGTTTAGGAGAAATGCTTAATATAAATATTTAGGGGCCACCCCTTCAAGTCCTTAATGGGGCCTGTTTACCAAAATTCAAAGTATGCATATTGTTTAAAACATTATTCTGACCATCCTTTCTTCAATATTACTTATCAAAATTTTCCTCCTTTTCGAGATATCAAGCGTCATAGATTTGACATTCTGGCCCCTTGTGACCCCTAATTACGTAACATATGATCAAAATTGTATAATTTATCGTTGCAAATAGTTAATATGAACATCTTGCTTCTAAAATACATCATTAAACTTTGATCATTAAAGAGTTTAAGATGAAAGACTTCTGACCCCTCACAGCCCCTAATTTGAGGAGTCGGCCCCTTTTTCTTGATGTCAAACGAAAGGTCTTGTGATTTCAAAGACTTTTTGTTCTACACCTATTCAGAGATTTCGTTTCGTTTAGGAGATATGCTTAATATAAATATTTAGGGGCCACTCCTACAAGTCCTTAATGGGGCCGTTTTACAAAAATTCAAAGTATGCATATTGTTTAGCACATTAATCTAGCCATCTTTTGTTCAATATTGCTTATTAAAATATTCACCCTTTTCGAGATATGAAGCGTCAAAAATTTGATATTCTGGCCCCTTGTGACCCCTAATTACGTATCATATGATCAAAATTTTATCATATATTGTTGCAAATCGTTAATATGAACATCTTTGCTTCTGTAATGCATCACAAAATTTTGATCATGAAAGAGTTAAAGATGAAAGACTTCTGACCCCTCTCAGCCCCTAATTTGAGGAGTCGGCCCCTTTTTCTTGATATCAAACGTTAGGTCTTGTGATTTCAAAGACTTTTTGTTCTACACCTATTCAGAGATTTCTTTTTGTTTAGGAGATATGCTTTATATAAAGCTTTATATAAATAGGGGCCACTCCTACAAGTCCTTAATGGGCCCGTTTTACAAAAATTCAAAGTATGCATATTGTTTAGCACATTAATCTAGCCATCTTTTGTTCAATATTGCTTATCAAAATATTCACCCTTTTCGAGATATGAAGCGTCAAAGATTTGACATTCTGGCCCCTTGTGACCCCTAATTACGTATTATATGATCAAAATTTTATCATATATTGTTGCAAATCGTTAATATGAACATCTTTGCTTCTGTAATGCATCACAAAATTTTGATCATGAAAGAGTTAAAGATGAAGGACTTCTGACCCCTCTCAGCCCCTAATTTGAGGAGTCGGCCCCTTTTTCTTGATATCAAACGAAAGGTCTTGTGATTTCAAAGACTTTTTGTTCTACACCTATTCAGAGATTTCTTTTCGTTTAGGAGATATGCTTTATATAAATATTTAGGGGCCACTCCTACAAGTCCTTAATGGGGCCGTTTTACAAAAATTCAAAGTATGCATATTGTTTAGCACATTAATCTAGCCATCTTTAGTTCAATATTGCCTATCAAAATATTTTCTCTTTTCGAGATATAAAGCGTCAAAGATTTGACATTCTGGCCCCTTGTGACCCCTAATTACGTAACATATGATCAAAATTGTATCATATATTGTTGCAAATAGTTAAGATAAATACTTTTGCTTCTGTAATGTATAACAAAATATTGATCATTGAAGAGTTATAGATAAAAGACTTTCGGCCTCTCTGAGCCCCTAATTTTAGGGGTCAGCCCCATTTTTTTGACATCAAATGAAAGGCCTTGTGATTTTGCACATTTTTTCTTCAATATGCTTTAACAAATTATGAACGCGTATGAAGATATGAAACAAAATGTGTCAATTTTTGTGAGATATTTCTGAGACATTTTTTCGGGCCCTACCGAGCTCCGGCGCCTTTTGCGCTAGAAAGATTTGGAGACCCAATTACAACTCACCAAACCTTCCTTTACTTTCACTGAAAATCTTAAGTTGATATCTTTAGTCGTTTCGGAGGAGTTTCCTGGACAAGCCGACCCTCTGAAAATCAGAAAATCGACCATATCTCACGACCGGAAGTGAGATCATCAAAAAGAAAAAAAACCTATCAAGATCAATTGAATATCTTTCAGATCTGAAAGTTTGGTATAAATCGGACGAGCCATCTCTGAGAAATCGCTTGCACAAAATCGGTTGGAAGAAAAATAATAATAATAATAATAATAGGGAAAAAGAAACCGAACGAAAACAATAAGGTCTTCCGTTGGAAACGGAAGACCTTAATAATAAGAAACAGAGTAAAAACAATATGTTCCCCAACTTCGTTTGGGGAACATAATAACATGATGCTTAATCTGATTGCTTCATGTAGAAGCACCAAGTCTACTAAGCTGTGAGGAAGAAAAAAATTCAAATCCTACTTTTCATAGAGAATATTTTTTACAAACATAGGGGATCACAAAATGTGCAACATATGCAGTTGCCTCTTCTCTAACCAGTTAAAAATTTTCATCCATTTTCAGAAAAGCAGATATTGGAAGAAAACTCGGCAACGAGAGAAACTGGAATGAGTTAAACACAACAAAGCCTGGAATGAAAGGGGAGGTAAATCAGGATAGGTCATACACTACCACTGTTAAATGTACAGGGATAAGCCTCGTTTTGACCCCAAAACTTTTTTTTTTTACTGAAAACTATTTTTGAAATTATGAATGAAAACAGTGTGGAGTTCAAAATAGGCTTACTTTAGTGGTAAAATATAAATCATCTAGTTCAAAGTTCTACTGTACTTTAGTAACTCATCATGTGTTAATAAATGCATATCTTTTCAAAATTACAATATAGCATATAAATCAGTTCAATTTTCCTGAATGACCTACATGTTCCTTTTCTTTTTTTGGTCTCTTCTTAAATTAAGTCACTCCATTGCAATGGATAGGTCTAATCAAAATCAAATACACATGTACATGTTTCTATTAATTTGTTACTCAGTCTCATATATGCAGTAAAACACACAGAATAATAAACAAGAAATTGCAGTAATTTTTTTATCCAATAAATCAATTACATTTAATACCAATTTAGATTTTTAATTGTTGTGGAAAAATTTTAAAAGAAAAAAACGTACTAAATTTTCAGGAGAGGACTCCGCAGCGCCAGAGATCTAAGGGTTCAGACAGCAATGATACCGTGATCCAGGACAATATACCGAGTGACTACAGTCATCCACGTCTGATTTCTCCTGCTACAGGAACACCACAGGGTGAGTTTGTAGTCACCTGCATGGTGCGTTGGTAATTGAGGGATTGTTCTATAAAGTCGTGGAGTAAGGAGCTGATCCTTACGTTCCGGCCCATGGGTTGAGACAGTATAAAATGAGATCCTTTTTTTGCTCAATGGCCTTGTCTATATGAGTACTGAAAACAGGTCTAATTTTGCAGTGCTACATTGGAAAGTTGTGGTGTCACCATATGAGTGAAAAATTTTCAAGATGGATGTCAACGATAAACAAACAAAACATGCAACCAAGTACACATGTATCTAATAATTTACACCATTCCTGAACTGTTTTAATACAGTGGCTGCAACATTATTGTTGACAACTTACACGAACGATCACGTTACACGTACGATTCCGCACGATTAAATCTGTTACACGAACGATCCTTCACGCAAACGATTCTACACATTACACGATCTTACACGATTGCTAATGCAAACGCACGATTCTTCACTCAAAATAGTTCAAAATATTTAGGAATCGATGTTTCAAAACGAAATACGACTTAATACTGATGATAGATTTCAAACAATTATCAATATTATTTTATAGACTTTGGAAAAAAAAATGGCAATGGATATTTCTGTAACCTAATACATGTAAGACTAATTTATTATTTAAGATTATAAATTATTATAATTTTAATAGGAAATTCTCCGACCTAAGAAACAGATTTTCACTCTATCAGTAGATGCACATGTAGTTGGACAGTAAAATTTTATTGAATTGGATTTCAAAATATGCAGAAATGGGAAAACGATTAAAAAAATATGGCAGCATGGAAGGATTTGAATTACGTATTATATCCATATATTTCCATTGATTCAATGTTTGTGATTCTCTAAAATCATGAAAAGGAACTTGCCAATTATTTCACATTTTTTTATTAGTAGAAATTAAAGAAAATAATTAAAAGTATGTTACAGAGAAAAACACTGATAAACAAACCACCGAAAATCATGTCGAGTGCATGTATAATTATTCGCGACTAAATATTCCTGTAAGCCTTGGGAAATGCTTTTTTATATGTAAAACAATTTATTTTTGATTTTAAAAATATCTTGACCACAATTAGCAGTAAACAAGAATGAAAATCATTGAAAAAAACGTTAAACATCTAAGTACGGTTGATCACAATATTACAGATCGCGCTATTTGACGAGAACATATAATAATGTATGACTTACTATATTGCTTGTTTACGAGCGATAATTAGTTCGTTCTGCATTCAGTTATGTAAATTGCACTTCATTCATTTTATTTGGATTAAAAAATATAAAAAAACAAATGAAATGCTTGTTTAACAAATAACATTCCGATTAAAACTTACAAAACGAAAAATTTACACGTTTCAAAACGCACGATCGCGCATGATTAAAACTGCAAACGATTGGGTCTGATACACGCATGATCTCGCACGTTACACAAATGATCACGCACGATACACGAACGATTCTACATGATTGGTTTGTCAACAGTAACTTTGCAGCCACTGTAGTTGCTTTTCATGCATATTGAATCTACCAAGACATTGAATTCATTCTTGTAACATAATTTTCATGCATTATTGAATAATTTAATTCTGGTTTGATTGAATAGAAAAATTTGTTTATAAAGTATAACCTGCTCTGCCAACAACACATTGACTTCCAAGGATCAAAAGTGTAACAATCTTCCTGACATGTTACATTTAGAATTTGTACAGTATGAAGACATTTTTAAAGGACAAATTTTCTTATTTTACAGTTTACACTGTTATATATATATTATATTATATATGATGAAAATTAAACTATGCGGAATTCATTTAAAGAGGGGGCAGGTATCAGATCCTTACAAAAACAAGTGCTCATTCAAAGAGTAATAAAAATCCATTCCATTTACTTCCATTTTCTAGTACCAATATCCCAATGAAAGGCTGAAAATTGACATTAGATCATAACAGTCAGATCTAATGCTATAAATGCAGTTGAACTTTGGTCACTAGAACACCAATATCTCGAATACCGTGTAGATGTCAAAGTGAATTGGAAGTTCCAACCACTTATTCTTTAAGTATTTTACCCTGGATGTATCTCGAATCATCGAATATCTGAAAGTTTTTCCTCAGTCCCATCAAGTTCAAGATAACGAGAGTTAACTATGTGTGTAAATCTAACTGTATAAAATTGACACAGGTTTAGAAGAAAAAAATACAGACAACTTGCCAACGCACATTAGCGGGGATCCAGAAGAATCACACTCAGATATGATGGACTCTTTTCTTGGTAAATGGCTTTGGTTATAAATGTAAAACTAATACATCTAATGCATGAACACGTAATTTAGGGAATTTTATGGTGTAATCTTCCTCTCTATTTCAGTTCTTTTTATGGTGTAATCCTTTGCTCTATTTCAATTTTTTTTTTACAGACAATCAGCTGAATGATCCCTCCCTAGAATCCCTAGAATCCTTCCCACCCCTCGGAGGGCATACATGTATGTTGATCAGCTCATCTAAGTTTTATGGCCCCCATGCAGGCCTATTGTTAATATTTAACTTTGATCAAGATTAAAAGTAATGAACTTGACATAGTCAAATAAGTTTGGAGTGAACATATACACTGACATTGTATGTAATATTTTGTTTTTTTAATCAAGGTAATTTTTCATCAGTGTTTTGTTAATGACACTTTGAATTATTATTCTGCTTCATGGCATGTACCTATTAAATAATGGATATAAAATGTAGGTCTTTAATAGGCATTACTTGCTGTTAATTTAAAGATTAATGAGTTCATTAACGTAGCATGAACTTAAGTACCTCTCTTTTTCAGATCCCCAACCAATATGTCTTTCTACGTTGCCAGAGGCCTCGTTTCCTCCCATTTCAATGGAGCCTAGCTACAGTTCCAATTCACATGAGTCTGCCTCAGTCTTAAACTCACTCGAATCTGCCTATAGCTCAAACTCACAAGAATCTGCCTACAGCTCAAACTCACATGAGTCTGCCTTAATCTCAGTTCCACATGAGCCTGTCTTCAAACTCTGTAAGAACACACTGAAGAGATACAACAGTTGTGACAGTGGGTACCATTCTCACTTCAGCCATGTGTACAAGAGTTCTGCATCGGCCATTGGAGGTAGGGAAAAGTTTACAGATGATGTGGACTGAAAGGTGGATCTAACAATTTTAAAGATTTTATTTTTCCAAATATATCAATGCAGGATATTGCTGTTGGCCTAGTATTGAGTTTGAGTCTTTGAATTGTCCATGTATTTGACTGTTATGAACTCGAAGAGTTAAGGATCATTCAAATAGGACTTGCAAAATAGAAGAGTGACAGCTTATAAAGAACACATAGTGCTTCTTTCTGCATGGATCAAATAAACTGAAAGGGGAAAAATATATGTATTTATACCCATATGTATGCAATTTCATAACATTAGATGAATGGTGTTACATCATGTATTGTACATTACCCCACCTCTGTTGATTTTTCCGTGAAATTCTGGCTTACGATTGGTTGAAGTCTGTCACGTGAAGGCGGTGGATTACTTATACCCGGTCAGTTGTAAATCCATACCCGGTCAGTAAAATCTGTACCGGCTCGATGTATTACGTCACAAACACAAACGTGACGTCATAATAGGCACAGTATAAGCGCGATGAAGCATTTAGCAGAGAAAACCATTTATAAACTACAGATAAAACGTAAATGTTTCATCGGTGGGGTAAATTCGTTACATAGTCATTTAGTGACAGGGTATGGGATGATACCTGGTTAGTAAATTTCATACCTGACTCGGCTCCGCCTCGCCAGGTATGAAATTTACTAACCAGGTATCATCCCATACCCTGTCACTAAAAGACTATGTAACTAATATTACATTTTCTAATTTTGATTCCAAGAATAATATAACATTTGAGTTGTAAGATCTAAAAACAAAAGTATTTATATCTATCTTAATTGTGTTTTGTAATCTATCCTTATGAATTTCTTTTCATAAATATTTATTTTTTGTGCCAAATTATACATACACCAGTGCATAACTTCATGAATACTGTAAAATCACATACACTGCATATGTGTTTTCTTGAAGTCAAATTTTCAAGATTCGAGGAAATCATACTGTTTTGTGGGAACTTGATTTTGTGGTTGGAGAATGTCAAGTAGAATTGCATTTGAAATTTCATGGCGGTCATTTTAATTCATGGGTCCCCATGTCTGAAAACAACCAAAATTAAAACCTCCAAGAAAATAAGTGATTTCACAATATGCCATGCTCAGACTACCTGGTGACATTTTTCTTGGCTGACTGTTACTGCATGTGTTTAAAACTGAATTCAATTTAAAATTCAATAGGCATTGATTTAGCTTTACGCATTGACTTCTTTCCTAATGATTATTGCCCATACACTGATGATTTTTTTTTGGTTTACACTTCAATAATGCCTTTAGTTTATGGAGGTAAATACATGTCCTAAATTTAAGTCAATACATTTATGCCATATTTATGCATTGGATATGTGGCATATTTGGAGACAAATCAAGATGTACATCCTATATTATACGGCATTATACTAATGTTCTGTAGCTTTTTTTTTCATTAATCATCTACCAATAGTCAGTCATATCATTAACCTGTATTTATTAAATTGATGATCTGAGTAGTTGAGATGAAATACTTTTGAGGTTTGGCCTATTGTGTTCATTGTTTACACCAAACCTATGTATAAGCAAACCTTTCCTTTAAAATCATTTTTTAAACATCATCAAAATGAATTAAACAGCTGTGATAGAAAATATCTCTCTTTATGTATTGCAAATTGCCTAGCCATGCAACCAGGTGATATTTCATATTTTTGTGATAATTTTGTTGCAAGAAAGCTACATTGTACATGCGTTTAGCTAGGAATCTGTTTTTCTTGTGTGTCTTGTGCTGTTTGAAATGCAATAAAATGAGACTTGTATGAATTTTTCATCTTTTATTTATTATTTTTGGTTACATACAAAACATCTGTAATAAGGTTCTACACTGAATTAAGTGGCTTAATACATTCTTTGCTGCCCAAAAATATTAATAACCCTGGTCCTCTGTTTAGAGAGAACTCTAAATTCATAAGTCATGACTTATAGACCTTCATAAAAATGTCCTTTTCTTAGTTCTACAATGATTTTGTTTAAATTTCTATTTTATTTCCACTTTCTGTTTTAAAAAATGTCAATATAGAACAATTCTGTATAACTATATTTGGGCAGATGTGTTCCCCATTTTATATTGCTATAAATGGGGTGATAATTTTATGCAGGAGAATCTTGTCTGTCTGTGAGTCCTATATGAATTCTTTGTTTATATACAATAATTCACACTGCTGATCATCTGCATCATGTTGTTTATCTATTTTTTGATTCATAAATAAAATATTCTATTTATATATCGTAGTTTCACTTTCCCTTTGCTGACAGTCCTTGCTGGAATCCCCTGTAAGCTTTAGAGAACTCCCCTGGGGCCTCCCACTGAGGGTAGTGTGAGATGTCAGGGGGCAGCACGGTAATACTGTGTCGGGGAACAGTCTTCCTACAAGGGAAATTATGATAATGAAAGTCAGTTTCAGTCATAATATTTGTATTTATAGTTATAAATGTGAAAAGTGTGAGAAAATGAAAGTAATTTTCTGTTTTACACTGCAATGCAATACTTAAACTAGAAATACCCAGTAAATGAAATTTATGGAGATAACATACAGTATTCAAGCTACAAAGTCCCTTAAACAATAAAAGAAAATGGAGCAAAATTTATCTGAAAAGAAGAAACAAATGACTTACTTGTAGTGATCAATAAAAACAGAGGGATTAACTGGATCTGATGGACCATAAATCATGTGAACTGAAAGAGGAAATTTACGGGTACAAAACATTATAGAACTGCTGCCATTCATAAAGATAGAGTTATCAGCAAAGTTACTACTACATGTCTACTACATATGTATATTAAAGGCTGTCTGTGTTTCGTAGTGCTTATTTGAACAAAAGCAAACTCACTTTACATGTATTTTTAATTATTTACCATTATAAAGAATTTGGTCCTCTCTCTCTCTTCTTTAAAGGGAAATAACTCTTAAAAATTTATGTTAGATGGAGTCAGTGTTTATATTTTTCTTATAGAACAATTAATTACAAATTAATGCTGCCTTTACCTGGAATAGTTGCTTCCTGTAGACCCCCTACCCATCTGTTTTTGTGTTGGCTTCTCTCTGCGATGTATCCCAGAAGTCTGTATTAATAAAATTTATGCGTAAAAGCAATCTCTTTCATTTCAGTGAATAGGATTGAAAATTCAGTGAAAAAAAAAAAACTGTCATCATGAAAAAAAAATTAAAGAAGGAAAAGACTTACTTGTAATTTATTCTGTAACCATGGTTATTAGCAATAGCTGCATAAAAATCTCTGAACTCAGATTCTGTCGGTTGTGTATTGACTCCAAATACATCTCCAAACCTGAAAGAAGGCCATCTTTATGAAGAAGAATCCTGACAGAATACTATGTTATACTGACATTTTTTTTCTTTCATTTCTCCTCATAACCAAATACTTAACCCAAGAACTATATTAAGCAGTCTTAGATGTAAAAACTTCAGTCATTCATAAAACGAATACATTATGAAAATAGGTCAATAATTTGAGAGAATAGGAGAAGTCAAAAATATGAAAAGTAAACACGCAGATATGAATACAGACATGTTTTGATCAGAAAAGTTAATTTTGAGCTTTAAAATAATATATCTTACCCTTTTTTGAAAATTCCATAGAAAGACAGTCTACTTAAGATGGCCCCAAGGTAAGGAACTCTTAACAACTGAAATGGAATGAAACTACATTAGGGATGGGGATGTGCGATTTTATCGGTATACCGGTATATCGCGATTTTTTGTTACGTGATATGTATCGTGATACGGAGACCTAAATACATGTCTTTAGGTACGTATTATAAAGTCTAGAAATTATTCATTTATTTTATCCCTAATTAGGGATACTAAACAAGTATGCATAATTACATATAATATTATGTTATCATTCATTTAACATTTAATTCATTTTTCAAGTTCTTTACAATTGACAAATTTACAAGTTCCTGTTTAATGTGGCATTTATTTGAAACATACACTACCATTTTTTTTTTTTTTGGGGGCGGGGGGGGGGGGCTTGTCAAGGAAATTTTTGGCAGTGGATATTGAACTGAAACTGAAAATATATGGCTGTGCCCCTGCCCCTTCCTTAGGTCCAGGGCGTATATTGTTTTTGTCCTGTCTGTCTGTCTGTCTGTTGTCAACTTTAACCTTCACCATAACTTACGAACCAAAAGAGATAGAGACTTCATATCTGGTATGCATACTGCACTAATAAAGTTCTCTCAAATGACATCAAGATCTTTGACCTTGTGACCTTGACCTATATGCTAAAAATAACTTTTTCGAACTTTGTTGCCGCCAGGTGCATAGTGTTTCACAAACACATCTTGTTTTGCTTTTAAAACTTACTTTTTGTAAAGGTCTTGGAAAATTTGTTTCAGGGAAAATACCTACAAAAAAATAATAATTATAAAATAAACAACTATAATTTTTCACAAATTAATACTGACTATAAAATTCAAAATCTTGTTTTAAGAAATGACAAAGAAATTTGCACACATACATATATTATCTAAAAATATCACCTTTTAAAAAAATTCTTGACAATAACTTAAGCATTCAATCTTACCCCCATTACTTAAACAAAGGGAGAGAACTTTCAAGTCTGTCTTTTTCTCATTAAACCTGCAACGGAAAAAGAACAAATTAGTTAATAAATTAAGGACTTTTTAGTTTTATGTGTACTTTTCTTTGAATATAAATTTCATAAATATTTAAGCAATATTAATGATGCAAAGTCCTCTAAAAAATAAAATCAAATGATCACAAAACTCTTATGATATCAAATTTTAGAAAATAAATTAAAGACCTTGCCAGCAATTCCAAGGCCACTGTGTCCCCGTAGTCATGTGACAACAGATGAATCTGTGCTATTTTAAGCTTCTTTAGTAAAGCCTCAGCAATATCTGCTTGTTCCATAATAGAGTAGTCATGATCTGACTGAATAAATAAATAAAATTTGTTATGCATAAATATAATACCAACAAACACTGCACAGGCTCTAACTTTGTATTTATACTAGTTTGTTCTTTTTTCTGTTGGTCCTTTTTGAGGCCCTATACTGTGCATCAAGGAAAACATCACTGGATGCTGTTTTTGACGTTCATATCATATTTGTCATCTGTGTATGTCAGAGGTGTTGGACACACATTCCATTACATACTCTAGTTGAATCGGAAGTGTATATAAATAGTATAAAAAATAAGAGACTAATGTGTTACCTGACTTCCAAGCAGTGACAAAATAAGGTTGTTTTATTACAGTATTTTTTAAAAATTAATTATGATCTACATATCTAAACTGATATTTTCACAAAGAAAATCAATTATTTAACTAAAATGTCTCCTAGCTACATGCAGCTATCTAAAATAACATTTTTCACCTATAAGTAAGTTTATATATATATATATAGCCAGAGATGATGTTGACTTACCGGTTTATCACTGAGGCCAAACCCAATCATATCAAACAGAATCACTTCACTGTGTTGTTTCTGTAGGTCTGGAAGTACCTGCCAAATATAAGCACTTTTCTTATAAACACCTAAATAAGGTAAAGGAATTGTAGCTGACCGTAATTCTACTCTTCTACAACAGACTAAATTATACTGTGGAATCATCATTGTTCATGAGGGCCGGGCCAATGTTTGACAAATTGACAATTAAACCTGATGTTATAGTTATATAGACAAACCTTGATCCAGTCATGGCTGGATGTTGGAAATCCATGGATTGCCAAGAGCACACCTCCATCTTTATTGCTGCCTTTTTCCACTGAAATAATATGCCAGCTATTTAATTTTCATATTTTATAAACTCTATCAGTGGTCTATGTTTTCCACTGACTGTCCTCTGATTTACAAAAGAAAAATGCCATTTTAACATCACAGTAACCTATTTTAGATTATTGTACACCTTCCTTCATTAATAAACAGAGACAGGTATTAATAGCAAATGAATCCTTGATTTATCATACTAAAGTACACATCTCTGTTCAAGCATTAATATATCTACCTGGTAACTGTACCCTAAGATTTTTTTAAAAGTTTAATCTCAGTAAAAGATAGTTGTGACTAGTAGAGTGCAATCACAACTTCTCGGGCTTTTCTGACCAGTGGAAAACAATCTCAAATGTATTATGTAAACGCCATGGAAGATCGATGCATAAATTTTTAACATCCTGTGATGTTAATAAGACCGCGGAACATTAACTGGCAAAATTGGAAATATACAGCTTACGTCATTTCTATCTGTTACAATCAAAACATTCAGTGATAGACAACGAAATGGGCGGGTAAATTTCGACGCGGACGTGGGGAAAACATCGGATTGAAATTGCAGATCGAAATTCATTTTCAATCCACCTGAGCTGTTTTCAAAGCAAAGAGTGAATGTATGATCCAAAAATCAACTATATTTCAACCCCCAAATACATATTGTTTGAAGTTCACATTAATAGTTTTAGCTTATAATTTTAAGAAAGATCATACAAGACAAAGATTATTTTCAGGAGATATTTGATTCTAGAAAGGGGGGGGGGTAAAAAATTGTTGAGTCAGGTCATGGCTTAACATGACAATATATTTCATTTCTAGGATTATAAGAGTGCATGAGTTTTATACTTATTCTCACTGAAAACTGTTGGACAACTTTATTTAAAAATCGTTCAGCTCACCCCCCCCCCCCCCCCAACACAAAGATATACTTGTACATATATTTACCAAACAGAAATGAAATGTTTGTCCCTTATATATAAATTTATTTAAAACACTGGACAAAAAAATTCAAACTGTACCAAAATTGAAATTATTTGTCTTCTGGGTCAGTCAGTAATAATGTGCCTTCTAGCGTAGCTGAGGTGGATTGAAAATGAATTTCGATCTGCAATTTCAATCCGATGTTTTCCCCACGTCCACGTCGAATTGTACCCGCCCATTTCATTGTCTATCACTGAATGTTTTGATTGTAACAGATAGAAATGACGTAAACTGTATATTTCCAATTTTGCCAGTTAATGTTCCGCGGTCTTACATTGGAGGTTATTTTTCCTACCTCTGACAGAGAGACCCAAAATGATGCTATTGTACAATGTACATTGTATTTATGTTGTAATAGCTAAGAATCAAGACAAACCTCTGTAGAATATTTTGTGTGTCCGGAATTCAAAGAAGTTGCCTCCATTTTTCCAGGCTGTCAGGGTAGGGGTAAGGGGAGGGATAGGATAATACACAAACACAACTGCCAGAATACACACACCAATAGCTATGTACATCCACATGTCTCGGATTTATTTATAATCACCTAAAATTTAAAACTGAGATTTTTTATATAATAATATTAAAATAAATGACAAATTTGAACATGAGACCCATGGTTCACTTCGCTCACCTGAGCACTTTTGCAAGGTGAAGGATAAAGCAGAAATTAGTTAATTGTTGTTAATTATTTATCATTTCCACCTGAAAGTGGATGTGGAACTTCATTTGAACAAATTTTGAATTCATTCCTTTTTATCCAAGGATGCTTCATGGCAACTTTAGGTATATACATCATACATGTAATAATTCATTAATTGGTCCACAGTGTTTCTGAAGAAGAAATTGTAAATGTTTATAGTTTAAAAAACAGATGATGACAGACAGACGGACGACAGACAAAATGTGATCAGAAAAGTCACTCTTTCATCTCAGGTGAGCTATAAAACTAGACCCCCCCCCCCCCCACACACACAAACAAAATTGCGATAATTTCGTTCATCACCTGAAAAAAATTAATTCTCTTAAAAGAAACTTAATTGTCCAAAACGTATATAATGAAACACATTCAGTGGCATACAAATCTTTTACTTTAGCCAACCTTTCAAACCTGCACCTGCATCAAAGCCTCAGTGACATGCAATATTCTAGGGAAGGGAAATCAACACGTCGCTTATGCGCACATGACATATATATGCATCTACTAGTATGAAGTAGTAAAATGTATAGACTGTATCCTTGATGATCATTCTACTTCTTCACCCTGTTAGTGAACAGCCTACTTTATCACACCAAAATGTAAACAAATCCCACACTGCAGTTCACCGGATTTAAAGATCCCGCGAACCTGTTGGCGCACGGCCTGCCTAATTGAAGACCTACAGGTAATTGAAGACCTAGAGAAGACCTACGGAAGACCTACAAAAATGGGGGATATATACAGCAAAACTGATGTGATATTCTGATTAAGCATGTCCTAAATATATAAAATACACAAAAAAGTTTTATAAAAAGAAGTTTTAAAGTGTATTTTTTAAGCTCGGTAAGGGGAACTATTTCTTCTCTTAGACGACCTACGGAAAGAACGATAACTCTGGCTGACTTGTCTTGTAAACAACAACACGCTCGTTTATATTGTGAAGTTTATAGGAAGAATATGTATGACAAAATAAAAAAAATTGCAAATGATTTTGTTGAGTTTTTCAATTATGAATTATGATAAAGAAATAAGCTGGATGATGAATTTTGATGAAGTTAAAAATAAAAATAATAATCATGATTATTTCATTTATCAAATTAATATTCTACTTGAAATCTATGGTTAATATTGAATAATTTAATATCAGTTGTAACACGTCATTTGATTGGTTAAATGGTTTGATCCATTTTGTATAACATAACTTGCCTACGTCACAATGAGTTACGTCAAAAACGTATTACTCCGCTAGACGTTAACTTTTAAAATATGCGATATTTGAAGCCTTTTTCCGAAGGCAAAAAATGGAAAAATTGTCTTATTGTCTACTTTGAAATTAAATTATAAGGAATGAAGCTTATTTCAACTTATGTTATACGATATAACATAACTTGGGGCAGTTTACGCTTTTTTATAAACCGCTTCGCGGTTTATAAAGCGTAAACTGCCCCAAGTTATGTTATATCGTATAACATAAGTTGAAATAAGCTTCATTCCTTAAATAAATATTGTAATTTCTTTAATAGACAATAGACAATATTTTTATTTCCAATTAAGGGCCCCAAGAGAGGCATGAAAGGTACATGTGTAGACAAAGGCAATCAATAAGTAAATAAACAAAAAATTCAGTAATTTCTGTTAAAAATAAAAATACAGTCATACATATCATATTGTTGTTGTGCTTTAAAATGTTATATTAAATGATTAGACAGGTACTCTCCAAGTTGAAGTAAGACATTCATATTTTCACATGTAATGATCCAAAAATATTTCTGAGAACTATCTAAGCTATGAAAATTTTTATTATATTTCTGTGCTTCATTTAGAAGTTTAATGTATTTCATTTTCCACTACATTCAAATTACATTTTTCACATATTCTTTTATCTTTTTCAAGTCCAATATATCTACCAGTTTCAATTTTGAGTTTGTGTGAAGATATTCTTAATCTGGTTATACCTCTTCTAAAGTTAAAGTTATTTACACTGTAGTAATGTTAGATATTCCTCACGTTGGAAATTACTTTTAAGCTTTACATAAGAGTCCAATTTTCCATCAGAATTTTTTTCTTTCAGTTTCAGCCAAGAGCAAATAAACTTTTTTCGAATTTGATTATTGATGACAAATTTGAATTTAGATCGACTTAAGGAGGAGGCATTTTTTGGTATTTCTAAAAATTTCAAAAATTCAAGAATACAAGAGAACCAGGTGTCTCTATTTGTATGTTTTATGGGATAAATATTAAATATTCAAGTTCAAATTATTGATATGTATGCTGTGGATTTGTCTCAATTAACCAATATTACTCTGAACTAATGGCTTCGATCTTCACTAATTTGTTGTATACGCAGACACCCTGAGGATATATCCGTGTTTTGATTGCAATTATCAACAAACCCCACTTGCTCTGATGAATGTTAATTTGCAGTCAACAGAGCAAAGATAAAAAAATATTTATTACATATCTTAAAAATGCTAGCAAGAATAAACAAATAAAATTATTGTGCATTTATTCAGAATATAACTTACCAAAATGAATTACGTTTTGAATTTTTTTTTAATATTCAAAATGGTCATCCTTTTTCAATATAACACATTTATATGACATTCACGAGGAATATTTAATTAATTAAATGTATGTTTCCAGTTAACATGCTGTATGCCAAGAAATAGGTACCATAATATGAAACATAAAGTTATATTTCTTTTACATTTTGAGCCAAAATATACATATACATTATATCAATCTTGAAGATACCGGGTATATCATTCAATAATTAAATTAAAAGAAAATATACACTTTTTAAAATTGAATAAAATAATAAACATGCATGTTGTCACACATAAGAAATGCATGCATATTTAAAAAAAATATGATGCTTTGACTCGGGGGAAATAAGATTTTGAAAGTGATTATGTCTGTGTTCTTCTTGAAAAATTACTTCAAATTCTTTTAACTGCAACTTTAAAATTTTCACTTTCTTCATAAATGCAAATCTTATAAAAATTTCCAGATGTTATAAATGACATTACTATATACTATTATTTGTTTTAACAAAATAGATTTGTATCTGACTGAATATTTCTTTCTTTTTTTTTTTTTTATCTTTGATGTATGTATATGAAATATCTCCAATGATTTTTTTCCATCCTTAAATTTTTTTTATTTACCTTTTTCTGATAATTACATTTTCTTGATATGTTTTGGTGAACAGCTGATTTATTATTTAAGCGAGTTATCGTTCTTGCTGTAGGTCTTCTGAGAGAAGAAATAGTTCCCCTTACCGAGCTTAAAAAATACACTTTAAAACTTCTTTTTATAAAACTTTTTTTGTGTATTTTATATATTTAGGACATGCTTAATCAGAATATCATATCAGTTTTGCTGTATATATCCCCCATTTTTGTAGGTCTTCCGTAGGTCTTCTCTAGGTCTTCAATTACCTGTAGGTCTTCAATTAGGCATTCCCGTTGGCGCAAGCTCAAACAACAATCTCGCGGGGTGACGGAAGCAAACAATTTTCAAGATGTCAGCCGTCAGCACAGCTAGACCAAAGAAAACTGATGTTTGTATAATGTTCTTCTTTGGCCATAAGTCTTTCTTGTAATTGAACAACTTTTGTGAAAGAGCCACGAAAACAAAGTCTATTTGACACGTTCTAGTCGTAAAAACTGTTTTCTATTGTATTTCAGCCACTTTCAAAGAAAACTCCAGAAAACCCTAAATATGCTCACATTAGGCACACAATCGACACAGGTCAGAATTTGTTTGTGAAAAATCGTGAAGTTGTTTACATTTTTTATTTGAAAGTGATACATTAAAGTCCAAAATATCGGACAGTTTTATTTGTAAATAATGGTTTCCCGAATTTCCTCATATTCCACATGCATGATTTTTTAAATAGAATTATTTTATTCTTCAATTTCTTTTAATGGAATACAAATTTCAGTAAAAATATATTTATTTAGTTGCTTCTTGACAATAAGAGTGTTTATCCATGGAAATGTGTTGGGTTTTTACGTTCCGATTCTGTGTTTAATTTTAACCTGCATGGTTTTGACCTGCTTATATATAATATCCCTACAGATAGAGTCAGAACATGAGTGCAGGGGTACACACTGTGGTAAACAAATTGATTTTCGGTAGCTGTACAGCTTTAAAGTTGTACGTGCCAATATATTGTTAATTGTTTTTCTTGCTTTCCTTTATGCAATCAATAGTGAAGATGGCTTTACTTGTTTTTTTTTTTTTTATACTTTTTTATCTGTCTTGGAGAAGAAAGGTTAATAAATTCGATTTAGTAATGATTTTATATTTGAACAAAAATCAAATACTTCTTTAAATGCACTACAATATCACATTTACTCATGTGACAGTGTAAATAATGTACGTTTCTCCACATTAAAATATATATGATAAACATAAAATAAACATCACAATTTATGCTAATAATTGAAAATTTGCATGGAAAAACACTGTAGATAAAAAAATAATATGTAAAACTGTTGAAAGTATTTTGAAAATTGCTTCGGAATGAAACCACTTGGGGCGAACATGGATGCATGTCGAAACCATGTTGGTTGAAGAAATAATCAGAAAGGACCACCCACATTCCTTTAACTTCCCATTGGAGAATCTGTTGAAATAGAAAACATTTCCATGTTCACATTAAATCCCTGTTTGGTTTTGCAAGAAATGAAGTAGCAGATACACTTAATATTGTGTTAAATAGCTAGGATATACATTCTTTTCTCTTCTCGCTCAATAGTTTGCAGAGATAAAAAAAATGATAGGCTTATACATTCCTTTATCTTGACTGTAGAGATACATCACTTTCTTTAGAATAATTGAAATCTTTATATTTGCTCAGACTGTTAAAAGTAGACAAGGGGACATTCAGCTCACAAAGAAGGAAAAGTAGAGGAAACATATTACAAGTCATTTAATGGATTTTAGTTACTGCAAATCATATTTTATTCGTGAGAACTTTATTTTAAGCGTAATTATGCGAGACAATAAGCTTGCGAAAATTTCATTCTCGTCTTTAAAAGTATTCCTTATGATTATATAGATAGAAAACAACAATTCATGAAAATTATGTCTCACTAATAAACAGTCAATGACTATCTTGCGAAAATAAAGTGTCGCGAAAATTTAGTGATCTACAGTAGTTAGTTATGACAATTTAAACATTGTTTTTACTTTACAGGTTCGAGTGTCACAAGGTATATGGAGAAGATTGAAGACATTAGAAAAAGTGAGTACTTTTAAAAAGGTTACATGGCATTGTCAACATGGTATTGTCAGTTTCTGGAAGCTGCTTCATTACAATCACTAAGGCAGTGTTTAATTATAACATATGAATGTTATCCATAGAAAACATTCCATCAATACAAATGTTGAATTTGATGCTAGAACTTATGTGTGTCGATCGGTGAACATAATTTACGACAAAATATTTACACCCATTAAAATTTTAAAAAACACGCTGTCCGCTAACATGCTGTCACGCTAACAGGAGTTCGCAAAACACGCTGCAGCAGTAAACACATGCTGTCACGCTAACATGAGTTCACACAACACACTGAGTGCTAACACACAACACGCCATCGCACTAACACACTTTCAAGCAACACCCTGTCGCGCAAACACACAACATGCCATCGTGACAACATGTTGACGTGCAAACTGGTGTTAGCCTGACAGCTTGTTGTGTGAACCGGTGTTAGCGTGTTTTGTGTTAACATGTCAGCGTGTTGTGTGAACTCATGTTAGCATGACGGCATATTGTGTGTTAGTGCGATGGCCTGTTTTTCTGAAGGCGCTGTTGAGCTTTAGCGAATGGCATTATCTGGACACCATACATGTTTATCAGAATATCAGTCTCAAAAGACAGCTAAGAAAGTTACCTGTGTAGATTTGGTGAGCAATCTTGTCATCAATGAAACTTACAATTATATATTTATCAGTAGTACAATACTGAACAAACGATTTTACTGCTCTTTTGATTTTTAAAGCTCTAAATACAAAGAAATGTCTTTCTTTGTTTGTTAGTGTGGAAGTTAACTTTGCAGCTATTGCAGAAAAATAAACCTTAAACAGGTTGTGTATTTTTTTCTGCAAAAGCTGCAAAATTAATTCCTTTATCTACAACCAAGGAAAGCATTGTATTGTTTTTAGAGCTGCACATGTTTTTCATCTTCGCAAATTACTGCCAAAATGTATGCTCCTCTCCCATCTGGCCGTGGTTGGACGAGGAGAGAATTCTTCATAGCTCATTAAAATATTGACCAATGCGAGTAAAGCATAGTCGGATGATGAAATTTAATATACAGATTTTTTGAATATCCAAGTTCGCAGCACCCTTTTTGATAGAAATATTGGACTTGAAAAATTCCATTTATTTGCAGTTTCCGTTCATTTTCTTTGCAATGGTTGCACATATTGAAATGAAGTTTTATACAGATTTTTGACTGAATATGAGGTCACAATAGAGAGGCATAATTGCACCCTTTTTGATGAAGTTAAGTCCTTTTGGACTTAGAAAAAAAATCCAATTTGGGGGGAGGGGGGCATAAGTATTTCACAAACATCTCTTGTTGGTTATAGAGCTGCACATGTTTTTATGCTAAAGGAATACAATGTAAAATTTTTTTGAAACACTTGACTCTGAAAATAGAATCCAGTATGAATGTGAAGAGTTGCAATTTAGTATCAACATCTCACTGCTCCATGTTATAATGTTTACTTCAAGCTGCAGAATCATCATGATCATTAGCTTACATGCTTAAGGGCTGATTTTGGAAAGGAAGAGGTGTCTTTCTGTTACTCAGTCTGTTTACAATTCTAATTGTGCTGCAAACTTGTGAAGTTATTTTGATAAAGGTAACTGTCTTTAAAACTATTAAAAGGTGACTTAGACAACTTATATGGGTCATTACATCGTCTCAAGCCACGGTCCTGAGTCCGCATATAGCTCTCTCCTACCCGTGGCTGCTTGATCACAAAAAGTGTCGTAATCTTGAATATTCACGCCTCTCTATTGTGACGTCATATTCAGTTAGTGGCAAGTTTTGTTTCCATCACAATTGAAAACAACAACTGACGTCATCAGTGTACGAGAAATATTTCCTTTACTGCGATTGGATATTGAAAGGTCGGTTATGACTATGCTTTACTCGCATTGGTCAAAATTTTAATGAGTTACGAGGAACACTGTTCAACCAGATGGGAGAGGATAAATTTTGGTTTGCATATGGGGTCAAAAGGGAAGTTATTAAACTGTACAGCTAGTTTATTTTCTTAGTCAAGGTCTCTTTTGATAGAAAAAATGTTAGAAGGTTCTATCACATACATGGGTTATGATCAGAGGATGTTTTCAGATCTGCAAACACTGCCACATGGATAAATTCTATTGACATATTGAAAAGGGAAAGAAATAACTGTGTTAGCAGTTTATACGAAAAATGCCCCTTTTAAAAGCAGGAAATAAAATGATAATGTGTTAACAGTATGATTAATATGTTTTTTGATTTATTCATGTAGCACTTCATTGAATTATATTTGGACAAAAGAAGTGATATGAAGAATATTAGTTGTAAATCAAATATAATATGTAATTTATTCATTGAAAAAAAAAATGATATTCTGTTACAGTTTGAAAGGATATCAAAATGATATCCTGTCACAGTGTAACAAATATCAACTCTATAAGTGTGGTAAACTCTCGTTCTTCTTTCTCACATTAACAGAGTTTTGTTATAAAAAAAAAAACTGAAATGACTGAATATTTCACTGGGATTTATTTCTTTCATCAATTCATGTATGTGCATGTATATATACATTAACTAATGAATAAGGCATGTCCCCAAACAGAAGGTATGGTTTTCATACAAATTCTGAAACTGTGATTTTCTAAAAAATGAAACTGCTGTAAAAGTTGAAAACTCATGCTTTTTAAATAATTGAAATTCGATGCAGAAAAATCATATAAGTACTTTTTCTCACATGTGTTTTTAAATGCTTATTATGACGTCATAAACATGTGCATTTTCCAAAATTTTTTAAAAAGTTGCAGAAATATATATATAATTTTCTTTCAACAACATTGTCCACAGGCATCGCCCACAAAGATCTTGAGATATGTGATTCGTTATTGAATTTTGCACAAAATATCAAAACATTAACGTGGGCGACGGCTGTGGACACTGTTTTCTAAAGGAAGATCACCCTTGAAATGTGCCATTATATATTCATGAATGAAAATAGAGAAATGCTTCACATTAATGACGTAATATTTGCAGTATGGTAAACCTTTATGTCATATTCTTTACTGATTTATCAGAGTCATTTATTTAACTAACATTTAAGCCAGTTTCAAAACTTTTTGATGTCTTTTAATTTTTAGGGCGGAATAAAGCTAAAACCATACCTTTTTCTTCCTGCCTGTCTCATTGAATCAAAAAAATTTTGCCTACCGGTAATTATAAGAAACAATTAAAATTAAGTCATATTTTTTATGGGTCTGTCGCTCAAAGGGTGCATCTAAAACCACTTTGACCAAATAAATGATAAAGGATTAGGGGAATAAATTTTTTGCCCTGTATATCACTTAATTGGTAAAAAAGAATACAGTGCATCTCGTTATTTAGGTGTTAGTTTGTCTCAGTAAAATATCACAAGACTGCATGAGGGCATCATGATTAAAGTTCCGAATCAAATTCAATCAAACATCATTTTAAAAGGTTATAATATTATTCATGCATTATGAAGGTGTACTTTTCCCATTCTGTTTTTTTCTTCCAATCTAAAGCTGAAAAGGGTTAAATTAAATTTGCAATCTTTCTTTTGATTTTTTCTCAATTTGCATTTTAAGGACTCTTATTTAATCCTTTAGCTAGGGACATAGATTCCCTGTATAAATTAACTTGCAAATGTTAATTATATTCCATGCAACAAGTTGCCCGAGGTATGATGTTTTTGACTCGTCAGTTAGTTAGTGTGTCAGTCAGTCCATCAGTCCGTCAGTCCTGTTTTTTTTGTCAGCACAACTCCTCATAAACTGCTGCACACAATTTTGTCAAACTTTGCAGATATTTAGGACACAATGTGTAATGTGCATATTGCCAGGAAATTCTGATTCCTTTATTTTTTCCGGGAATTTCCGCACTTTTACGCTTAGATTTTTGGCCATACCTTGAATGTAGAAAGGAACAGATTGTCAGTGCAACTTCTCATAATCCGTTGCACAGAATTTTGTTAAACTTTGCAGATATTTAGTACACAGTGTGTAATATGTGCATATTACCAGGAAATTCTGATTCTTTTATTTTTTCCGGGAATTTCCGCACTTTTACACTTAGATTTTTGGCCATACCTTGAATATAGAAATGAACAGATTGTCAGCCCAACTTCTCATAATCCGTACCTGCACAGAATATTTCGTCTAACTTTGCAGATATATATATTATAATTTAGGACAGAATGTGTAGATGTGCATATTACCTGGAAATTCTGATTCCTTTGTTTTTCCTAGTAATTTCGGCACTTCGAGATTTGGGGGAGTGTGGGGTATGTGAGCTTGCTCACTTTTCTTTCATTTATCATGCATTCCATTAAAAGCAATCAAAGATTTTTTGGAATTCTCAGCATTATTTAATGTTTATTTACTTGTAAGTCTTAAAAAGTAATTGTTGAAAGAAGCATTATAACTGGTTTCAAGTTTTTAAATCATAACTTATCAAAAAAAATTTTAATAATGTTTTCCAAATGATTAATTCATCATCTTTACTTTATACAATGTATTGGAACACTTAGAATGGTAATGTATGCATGTTTTAGTAAGAACAGTAAGGATTTAAAGCCAGCCTCTAACTTTTGAGTGCCCTCTTTTGTTCAAACTAGGTAAAAGTGAAACCTTCTATTGTGTGGAACTGTCACAGTGAAAACCCCGCTCTAATGGACCAGCTTTGTCCAGCCATTCTTTCTGTATTAAATTTTTTTAATCCCAATAATCTTAGCTGAATGTGATTAAAAAGAATATCTTCTTAACGCCATTGAGATCTGATTAAAGGCCTTCAATATATGTAGTGGTTATGTAAAATATCTACCCACTTAATCAAACGTTTCAGAAGTGTTCAGTGTGTGAGTCGCTAGAATTAACTTGAATGTATAAAGCTGAGTTTTATTTGATAATACCAAACGGTAGATTAAGGGCTTATATCTTAACATTACGCTGTGTATTTGAATGTCTTTTGAATGTTTATTCTGGAAGAAATCTTTTATATTGTTGGTAATGAATGTGTCGCCTTCTGCTATTGGTTAAAAACTCCACCCTGGTAACTATATTGACATCTGGAAATTGACGTGTGCATGTAGCAATTAAAATTCAATGGAAAGTTGTGGCTAATAGGTTAAATAAATAAGTTATTTATAGATATATTGATGTCTTGCAACTGAATTTTGGATCACTAGCTAACTAAAATGGAGATAGATATTTTATGATGCTGTGTTTCGGTAATTAATCGGGGATTAATTACGAACAATAATTAAGTGATATCCTTACATTGTTCTAATTGGGAGATTTTGTTTCAAAATGCCGAAAAAAGGAAATCCTGCTGACTATAATTCCAGTATATTCTCCCCTCGTTTGCCTCCATTGAGACCAAAACTGTTCAAGGAAAATCGTCTACAGATCTATGAGATCATAAGGCAGGCAGAAAAAGGTAGGCAGGCCGGTGATGATCGGAAACATATTGCGGATTTTAATTGTGTAATTAAATTCACAATTCTATTGCTAGTTTGGAAACACATTTTGTCTTGAAAGTGAAAAGTTATCATGAAAGAGGTATATGTACAATGTAATTCATTTTTATGTATGTTATTCTGTTTTTTTTTTACATTGGACTGTTGATTATATTAATTTTTGAAAATTTTGTGTCAAATTACTCCTTACCATTAGGAGTGGAATTCTTGCAGAACCCTTATAATTTTTGGTACATGTATATCATAATAAACTAATAAGCTTAATTCATTTACTCAATTTTATGATCAGTTTGACTGTAATTGTAAATGCTAAAAAATTGTATTGCAGTTGAATTTAAAATTTGCCAGCCAATGAAAAATTAGACTTCATTTTAATAGAATGGTTCAGAAGAATTATGTATTAAAAAAAGATAAAAACTGAAGAGGTTTTATTAATATGAAGAGAAAAAAATTGTTTTTCTATATATAACTTGTAGAAAATTTACGAGAAAAAAAAATGATATAAATTTTCCCTCTAAATTTAGCATTAACCATCAGAATTATCTTCATTGATCAAGGTGCTATATTAGGGGTTCATATCTGTTAATAAAGTACTTACAAATATTTATTGGCTCCAAGAAAAGTTTATTGATGTAAACTTCTCAGCATGTGACAAAGACTTTCCCCTTGATGTAATGTTTGACGACATAATAGAAATTCATAAACCTTTTAAGACCCTTGGTTGAAGGGAATTGGCCTCTTACTGATTGTGTATTTTTTATGAACATATGCAGTCATGCAGTTTTAATATCTGCATGCAGGCATAATATAAATGTGAATTTTAAGAACAATCATTCAAAAATTTCGATGAACAGCAGAGGAATTTATTGATTGTTAATTCTTTGTCACATTTTCACTTTTCTGGTATGAATCCTAAGCATTAAATCGGAATAATAGTGAAATCACAAAGGGTTATTGAATTGTTCAGTGTCCTTAATAACAACTAGATTTAAAAATCCCTTTTTAAGATGGCTAAACAAAGTACATGAACGTGTTACAATCTAAAACATTGAAAGTTCTTAGGGCCACTAAAAAATTCTGTTGTTGCTACAGATGGAAACCCTCAGAATTTGTGCTAATGTGTTTTTTTTTTTGTTTCTGTGAGTGGAAGAAGTGAAGTACAACATGCACTCTATGTGTACAATTAGCAAAATATGATCTAGTATGTGGACAGTGTACATGTAGAACATTGAAGAAATTAATTTTTAAGAGGAGTTACTGTGACAACCCGACACCCCCCCCCTCCCCCCCCCCCCACACACACACACACACACCCACACACACATATTTCTCACTCTTCTCACTCAGTTAGATTTCCTGAATTAAAAAAATGTTTTTATCAAATATGTGATTGTTTAATGAAGTGGAAAGAAGCACTGGAGGGGGGATAACAATTAGAGGTGCTAATAATGCATGGAGGCTTGTGGGATAAAAAACAGCCTTCCGTCTTAATATTGGAAATTAAGGCACAGTTTCTGGTTGGCCATTACAAGTAGTTTGAAAAATACATAATTTTTACATGGAAAGTCCTGTGATGACTATTGCTCTCCAATTAATACTTGCTAAATATGCAGAGCAACTATGTTTAATTTCTTTTTGTTAGCACTTGATGTATTCTTACCAGACTTTGTTTGTCGAGAGATTTAAAACAACATTCTGTCTATTGTTTCCAAGTCTGAAATTTGAAATAGTGCAGGCAGGTTAAGGGATTTATGTCGCAGTACAGTTTATTGCCTTTGCCATTAATCAGTCTGTGCAAATTGTGTTTTAAAAGCATTTTTTAAGATTTTACTTTATAGGCTTTCTCGTATAATGGATTGTAAATTTACCTATAACAAATCCTTTTTCTCTGGATTGAATATAAAACAACTTAAAGTTTATACTTAAGTTGTCTTTTATTGAGAGAAATATGGGCCAGAAAATACAAAAAACACAGTGGAAGTGACTAATCCAGACATAGTCTTGTGAATAATTTCTTTTCAATTATGCATGTTCTTCTAAAATCTGAACAAAATGATGAGTACATTGTATTCACATTTTTTTCCACCTTAATTTTAATTTTCTTTCAAAATACTAGTACTTGAACGTGGATGGCAAAATGCTTAAGTCTTAATTGCATGTTTTCCCTGTCCTTGAAAATCAAGCTGTTTTAAGTAATAACCCTCAAAAGGACATAACAGAAATTGGTTTTCCCTGTCCTTGAAAATCAAGCTGTTTTAAGTAATAACCCTCAAAAGGACATAACAGAAGTAGGAAGACATAATTCTTTAAGAATATCAAGATTATTATTTGTGAAGTTTAAACAGATGTGCATCAGTTCTTTATGTACAAAGCCTTTGATTAGTTTAAGGGTCACAAGGGGTATTTTAAGAGAAAGAGATAGTGTCAAGAGCAGTTAAGTCTTATGTGAACTTTATGGCCCATAGGCCTCTTGTCAAATTCAAAACATTTTTAAATTAGTTATCATGGTAATCCAAACATTACAGATATTTTGTGAATGACTGTTATTGGTTAAATTAAGTGATACATGAACTAGAAATCACGTAAACATGATAAATTGTACAGTAATAGGCTTTTTCTTGTGACTGTCTTGTCTCATCTGAAATCTTTCTTTTTCTTTTTGCAGATTACAAATTTAAGAAAGATGAAGTGTTCAAACGAATGAAAGTCACGACATTTGTACAACTTGTAAGTTTCAATGAAATACAATGTATCTCTAAGCCAAATGAATATTTATAAAGATTTCAATTCTTTTTTACAAATAAATCATTATTTTTTTATTTTTATTTACAGATTGTTCAAGTAGCAGAATATGAAAACAGACATAGCACACAGTCAACAATAGGTATATTGAAAAAGAAAAAAATCTATTTCATTGAATACAGAGCTCAAAAGACATATATATCCCAGCTGTATTGCCATATACAGTACTCACAAATACAACATTGTAATGCTATATATGGTGAATTTGTACACAGCAGGGATGTTGTGATTGAAACTGAAGATTACTTATACGTGGCAAATATATACAATTTACATACATGTATATGTAGGAGAGCATTCATGTAAATACTTCTTTGTGATGTGATGCAGGAAAGTGATAGCTACAATAATTAATGTAGCCCTCTCCTTTTTTTTTTGCAGGAGAAGTTTAATATATTTTTCAAAAGTAACTTTGGTTGTTACTTTTTGACTAGAAGAGATTATATTTCTTTATCTGCATTGCATACATGTACTTGTAACAAGTCCTTCAGAATGTTTCATATTTAATTTCATTGCCTTGACATTTTGCTCAAGTTTTCTAAAAAATTTTATCTTGATCCTAACTTTTTTATTGAAAAGAATTTCCACATTTGCCTTTATTGTAACAATATGAAAACACCAACTTTTTCCTGATATTTGATCTCATGACCTTGACCTAGAAGTTTGATGCATTTTTTTGGGGGGGGGGGATTCTAGGTCCTTAATTTAGCTATTAAAAAAATTGATTCATGTTCTTGTATGATTGATCTAGTATGATTTGTGAGCCATTAATAATTGCATGCTTCTCAAAAAAAATAAGACCCCTAAAATTGGGAGATCATGTTTCTCTGAATTTGGTCGTTCAAGTTTTAGATTTAAAAAAAAAAGTTTTTCAAGATTAAGATGTATTTAAAATTGTGATTTCTCAGGTAATGGAAATTACACTGACAGACCAGACACTGCAGATCTGGAGGTTCAACACATACAGAGGGGCAGCCCCGCCCCCTCACTAGCAGTCACGGAGGGGGACTATGGGGAGGGGCCCAGAACAGGTGCCAGGTCCACACTTCAGGGGTAAGAAACACTCCAGGGCAAAATGGATCAATCATTTTATCCTTATGGACTACAGAAGAAAAGCCTGCTTAATATATGTAAAATTGAAAATTCTGTTTTCCAGAGTTGTGAAGGGGGTAGGTGAGGTGGATACTGCCAGACCTGCCCAGCCCCCAGCTAAAGTGGAGGATTTCTCCTGTCCCTACTTGCTGCTCGACATCAGAGACTCTGACTCCTTCGAGGATTGTCATATAATCACAGGTTTGTTTGTGAAGAATTTTTGGACAGAACATTTTTATGCCCTTGTTATCAGAGATTCAAGGTATAGATTTTGGTCTGTTCATATGTTTGTTGTCCCCCAATTTTCAAATTTAAATTCATTGCCTTGACATTTTGTCAGTTTTCGTCACAAAAACTTTTGTACCTTGCCCATAACTTTTGATTTAGTGGAGCTATGACTTTCATATTTCACTTGTGTATTCCTTGTGATAAGACCTTTCTTTGGGTACCACCAAATTTGACCTTTTGACCTTGACCTTGGAGTTTGACCCACTTTTACACAAAAATTCCAAACTTTTACTTTGGCCATAACTTTTGAACGTTAGATACTAGGACTTTCACATTTCACATATATATTGTTTGTGACAAGACCTTTCATTGGATACCAAAAATTTTGACCTTTTGACCTTGACCATGGAGATTTCCATACTTATGAAAAAAACTTTAACCTTGACCACAACTTTTGAACGGTAAGGGCTAGGGCTTTCTTACTTCACATATGTAATCCTTTGAAAAGAATATTTATTGGATGCCAAGAACTTTGACCTTGACCTTGGAGTTTGACCTACTTTTTTACCTACTTTTCAAAAACTTTGACCTTGGTCACAACTTTGGAACAGTAGATAATAGGACTTTCATACTTAATATATGTATTCTTTGTGTCAAGAGCTTTCATTGGATATCAACAACCTTGACCTTGGAGTTTTCCGTACTTATGAAAAAACTACAACCTTGGCCATAACTTTTTAACGGTAAGGGATATGGCTTTCATACTTCGTATGTGTAATCCTTGTGAGAAGACTTTTCATTGGATACCAAGAACTTTAATCCTTTGATCTTGTTCTCAATTTGTTTGTCTGTGAAAACTTAAACCTTGCCCACAAGGTCTGAACGGTTCCTACTTGGGCTTTCATTTTTCAAATGTGTATTTGTTGTGACAATACATTTCTTTAGATACTACCAATATTTTTGACCTCATGTCATTTGAATTTAACCTACTTTTGAAATACTTTTATCTTTGATCTGTGTTACCATATGGGGGCATGTGTTCAAATGCATCATTTTATTTGTGGGTCCCTCTATTTATTTTACCTAATTTTTCATTGTGCTAGATTAATTGATTTTTTATTGTTTAAGTCCCTCTCAAGAATTTTTTTCTCACATGGAGACACCACTACTTGCAAGTAGAGGGCTACAAATTCTTACCTATTGTTATAAGTGTATGTACATTGAATTTTTTTTTCATTTACAGCAAAGAATTATCCCAAATCCATGTTATCAAGGGCAACAAACTACGAATCAAAAGACATGTTAGCTTTTGTATCCTTTTATGACTTCATTGAACCAACTGCAGGAAAAATAGTGCTTATATAAAGCTGTTAGGTATATTTTGATTTCATAGTCTTTAGTGTAACATCTCCAATGATTCAGATTCAAATTGTGTGTCAAAAAAAGTTGAAGAAAAGAAAAAACAATATTTTCTTACATTCATGCTGCAGTTTTTCAAATGAAATAAAATTCATTCAAATTCACAGCAAACCGATACCTTCCAAAATTACCATTAGTTTCAGTTTTATTTATTCAGTGATTATATTATGTTTGTGTGTAAAGTTTCCCTTAACACTGGTCAGAAAAACCAGCCCGGGAAGATCATAGTTATATATGATGAAGACGAGAGGTTAGCTCATGAAGCAGCTACGACATTAGTACAAAGAGGATACGATAACTTGTTTTTATTATCTGGAGGTAAGATTTCTCTCTCTACATGTATCTATTTAAGCAATCATGTAACTATTTCCTTATAACAAAGTTTAGCTACATTTGATTATAACAATGACTTGAGAAATAACAATTATTACTCCATATTTCTTTCGAAATTGTAAAGTTTTGTTTACTGTATGAATTGAATGACAAGTTGACCATGTTATGATTTTACTGTAACATGTACATTTAAAGAAAATTTATGTAAATCAAGTGTTTGAAGTTCAGTTCCTAATTTAAAAAAAAAATGAAAGTTTAGTAATACCTCTCCTTATGTTCTCATGCTCATAAACTTATCTTCATTGAAAACTGCAGAGACAACTCTCCAAAAATATGATTATGTGTTGATGATACATGTACAGTATATCTAAAGAATAAATCCATTCACCTTTTGTCTAATGTAGGGATGAGGATAGCGTACCGGTATTTCCCAGACGGTCTGATGACCGGCACACCGAACCAAAACATCACAGAAAGTACCAAACCCCCCAAAACCAAGGAGAAGGCCTCCCAGAAGTCCTTCACGACCTTTGACCTGGAGAAACTCCACACCCAGTTAGACAGTCAACTCTCTGACAGGAGTGTAGGAAGTAAGTACACAGTTATCTGCCCTTGATAAGCATTATAGTATGAAGACATTTTGAGTTATTTTCCTTTGTACATAATACATGTATATGTGAGCCAAGAGTACACTTGCAAGATCAAATTCTTTAGCATATATTATTCACAAGTTGCATGTATCTTCTAGAAGAGAGAGGGCAAATTAAACAAACTATTTTTTAAAGATGGGCCCATTGCATGTCCATGTTAGTGATATTGGTACATGTAAATCAAACGTATAGTGAGATCTGAAATAAATTTGATAATTTACATTTTTTTATATAACATAATTTTAGGCAGGGGTAAGTATATCATCTTGATGCTTAACACTGCATGTATCTGTATCTATTCATAAAATTGGATGACAATAGGGTTTATTAACTTTGGGAGACAACATTGGAATCTGTAATGCTACATGTATAATAAAACTAATGCAAATTGTACTGTGAACAGTCGGTCATATCTAATTTAATTGAGGGAAGGTTTTTTTCTGTAACCTTTTATTTCCAACCAGATATATATGTATCTCACAACTGAAACATTAAAATAAAGTGGTTTCTCTGTGGTAAAAAATTACTTTCTCTTTTGGTGATTTTATGATTATATTCATTACAGATCGTAAATATTATGTTTGTGCTTTATATATTCATAGTAATTTACACCAGTATCAAAAACTTCATCTCAGGTATCCGATTTTTTCAGAGAATGGCATGTGTGTGTTTTTCAAGAAGCATGCTGAAATGTTGAATAAACAATTTTAATTGCAGTTGGAATTTTAGTATATTTGATGTTCATTTTTAAATCCAGACAAGAGTTTGTCTTGTTAAAATGATGAAATTTTAGAATATGAATATCATTGCAGCATGTAATTAATAATCTTTAGAATGTTGATTAAAAATATTTATAATCAACGAAAGAAAAAAAAATTGGTTTCCATCAATATTGTTTTGTAATGCATTTAAACAAAGTAGAATTGTGAGGGTAACTATTACAAAGGTTCATATTTATTCAGTTTTGTCACCAATTTCATACTTTATGTTGAAACAAAACTTTCTTTTTTATATTTAAATTACTTAATAATAGTTTTTTTTTTATTTACATGTAAACCTTATTTAATGTACTTCGATCTATTTATATGTAACTTTGTATTGGATGTAGTAATGATTTCTTCATATCTTTATTTTTTAGGTCGGTTGTCTAATGCCAGTACAATGTCCAGTAGAATGGGTCAGACCAGTACGTCCCGGACCACTAGTAGTGTATCAGGGTCAGTAACGGGACGTCCACCCTTCAAACCCTGCTAGTCTCGCTCCTCAATCACATCACAGGCTCTGCGCTTGATATGTAGGTATAGATTAATGATATGTGTAACAATATGGATAGAATAATTTTTTGTAATAAGCAGTTGTATATGTTTTAATCCATGGCCCCTTAAATAATAGTACATGTAATATTATTTTTTGAATTGTTAAAAATCATTAAGGAATGGGTTGATTAATTATTTAGTGAATAGGGTGTTAATATTACCTTAACAATTTTTCCCAGTTGTGTTATATGTCTCCATCTTGAAATTATAGACACTAGTTTATATAACAGCAGATAATATAACATGTAAAGAATAAGGAGAAATATAGGAAATGCAAAAATACTTTCTTTACAATTTACTTGCACTTTTCCTTTATTTCTTGCAGATGAATTCAAGTTCAGATACCAAGTTCTACAACTCCATCTCCAACATTTTCTGAGAGAGAGAGTCGCCTCTCTTTGATTTGCATCTATCTGCGTATGGAGTTCTGCCAGCTAACTTTCTCTAATCAATAACGACCTTTAAATCCTTTTTACAATGTGTCATGGACTCTAAAGGTTTCAAATTTATTAATTGAAATACCTTCTCTGAAATGTGTTCTGTCCCAAGAGTGACTAGTATTTCATTATGTTATATTTAATGTAATTGCACATTGTCAGTTTTAATGAAAGGTTACACATTGTCACTGGTGCAATAGTTATACAGAATCACACAGAGTATATGTCAAGGAGTGAGAGAAATGAATTCATTGATTGATGAATTGATTGTGAAACTCCATATTTCATTATCCATATTTATTTTTTAATGATTTTTCTTTTCTTTTTTTTTTTTTTTTTCAAATTATACATGTGTATTAATCAAAATGTTCTTTATATCTGAATATATATTACAATGTAATGTATTTAATAACAAATATTCTGTATATGAAGTTGAAAATCTCATGATGCAAGTTAATTATGTTTATAGTTTAAACTTGGTAGAACACTGAATTGAAGTCCGTCCATACATGCACACTTATATTAGGTTGGAACAATTATATACCTGGATTTTTTAGTTTTGAGAGGGAGACATTCTTGAATGCTGAAGTTGTGAAAGAATTGGTTGACTGAATGTCATTATTTATTTTTTTTGTGAATAAAACATGGTATATCAAATGTTGACAAGGCTTCTTCTATGTTTTTATGTTGAAGTTTGCAAAATTTATTGATTTAAATCCCATATTGTATTTCTTGGACAACAAAACAGCAAGACTTCATTATTATGTTTTCAGTTTTCATAATATGAACAGAACTGTAGTGAATTACTATACATATCAAACTGAATAAGTCAAAGTGTTTTATTGTGGACAAAAAAAAAAAGCGATGATTGTAAGTCCATTCTTAACCCAGCCTCTTCAGAATGAGAGGTTTTATTTGAAAGGGAATCTGTGTAATATTTTTTCGGTAAATTATGTATAAGTGATAAATACTTGTAGTCTACAATTAATTTAAAAAAGAAAGAAATGTAAGTTATAATTGAATGATGCTATCTTCACTTATTTCTTTCTTTTCTCACAAGAAAGGCAATATTGAGTCTTAAAAAGCATTTTTATTTTCTGTCTAAGGCCTTGTCACAAGAATTATAATTTTATATGTGAAGTATGAAAGCTCTGGTACCAAGCATTCAAAAGTTATTGCCAAGGTTAAAGATTTTGATAAGTTGTAGGTCAAACCCCAAGGTCAAAGGGTCAAAGTTCTTGGTATCCAATGAAATATGGATTAAATATTGGAAATATGAAAGGCCTAGCCATAATAACCCATCAAAGTTATGGTCAGGTTTGTTTTTAAAAAGTAGGTCAATCTCGAATGACAAAGTCAAAGATATTGGTATCCAAGGAAGGTCTTCACACAAGGATTATATAATAATTGAAAAATGAAAGTCATGGCCCTTACTCACAGGCACTTGTTTCTGTAATAAATTTTTGACCCATAGTATAATAAATTAATAATACTATGGGTCAAAAATTTATTACAGAAACAAGTGCCTGTGCGTAAAAGGTCAAAGATGTTGATATCCATTGAAAGGTCTCGTCACAAAAAAAATACATATGTAAAGTATGAAAGCCCTAGCCCTTACCGTTCAAAAATTAAGGCCAAAGTAAAAGTTTGGAATTTTTGTTTAAAAGTGGGTCAAACTCCAAGGTCAAAAGGTCAAATTTGGTGGTACTTAAAGAAAGGTCTAGTCACATGGAATACACGTGAAACATGAAAGTCAAAGCTCTACTAAATCAAAAGTTATGAGCAAGGTTAAAGTTTTTTTGCGGACAAACAGACAGCTGGCCGGACTCGACAAAAATTACATGCTCCCGAATCTTCGATTACTTTGGCATAAAAAGTCTAAAATTTCTTTTTATTCATGCCTTGGACGAGAAATGTTTTTCAGTATTCCCCTTCCCCACTTCCCCACTGGAGCAAATTTTATGCTATGTTGAGCAATTTTTAATGCCCCCGTTCACGAAGTTTCGGGGTATATAGTTTTTGCGCAGTTCGTCCGTCTAGCTGTCTGTCTGTCTGTTTGTCGATCCGCAGAAAACATTAACTTTTACCTAGATGTGACAATGGCTTTCATATTTCAGAGATGTATTCCTTGAAAATTAACCGGACAATTAAGTTTTGTAAATTTTGCAAAAGAGGGTCAAGTTCCAAGGCCAAAGAAAGGTCTTGTCACAAGGAATACTCATGTGAAAAAATGAAAGCCAAAGCTCCATCCAGTCAAACGTTATGGGAAAGGTTAAACCTCTTGTGGACAAACAGGCAAACCGATGGACAGAGTAACAAGTATACATGTATATATATATATATATATATATATATATATATATATATATATATATATATATATATATATATATATATATATATATATATATATTTCCGAATCTTCGATTAAGGGGACATCTAGAAAAGGTTATTGTTGAATTTTATTTCTGGATTAACGCAAATTGATGTTCCAGGATATTGCATTCTAAAGAGGAGTTAATAAATGACACATTTGACAACCGAACAGTAGAACAGATGAACGAGTCGTTTACTTGTCAGAAATTGGTAGTTCTCAATAACAAGTTCAAACGGACCCGGCTTGTGTTGTTGACTCTTCGTTCGCAAAGCAGCCTATTCATATGTTCACAATGGTAATTGATTCTACAAATGATGTACTTATCACACGTAAGGTTTTGTAAAATATCCGTATATTTTGTTTCCTCATTTTAGATCTAAGACGGAGATGAGATATATTTCTTTGACTTCTTTGATGTGACTTGAAATGGTTTGTTTAATATTTTTTTTTATTTCTTTAAAACAAATTTTGGAAATAACCAAAAGAGAGAGAGAGAGAGAGAGAGAGAGAGAGAGCGAGAGAGATTACATATTGGTGTATGTAAGACGATTAATTATTGCTTAATGCTGAGTCAGCAATATTTTAAATAGCCATATTTCGATCGGCGCTATTGACCTTTAGACAAATGTGTTGTAATTCGTTGTGCAATGAACATATGTTCACAGTAAGAAGCTGTTTCAGAAGGAAGATTGTAGTGCAATATAGAAATGGGACAGAAACTTTTAGATATTTACAGTTTACATTTATATTTACAAATTATATGATTATTTCATATTTATTTAATCATATATATATATCCATATATTGAACAGGAATGTGTCCATTGAAACACATCAAATTAAAAGCGGAGCAGAACCTAGGCTCTAAAACATCAGAGGTAGGATCAGATGCCATGGGAGAGTAAACATCCCCTGTCGAGCGGTCACACGCTTCTGGTGCCCATTGTCATATGATCGCAGACAAACTAAAAACATGAAAAAAGTCAGTATATATTCGAATTGACTATAGACTGAATTTGTTACGAGCGTCCTTGTCTGGGCAATAGAAATTACTTGACAATAATGAGATTGTTGATATCCCTGGGTCATCAACTTATTTGTAAGGTTTCCTCGTTTTCGATTTTTTTTTTTAAATATTTAGAGCATGACTTTTGCGTATCGGATTACTAGTAACTGGAAGACATACACATTTGCAAGGGATATTAATTTTAATACGAGGGAAGCTTGCGACAGAGAAAATAAAGTTATAAATTATATCATGAAACTTTTTTGAAAGATTGCCATTAATGTCTTTTTCAAGTAAAATATCCGAATGTGCAATTATAACGGATATATATGTCAGACTCAGTGGTGTTTTGTTTTTGCTTTCAAAGGGATACACTGAGTCGACAATACGAATGTCAGTAACTATTGCATCTTTTTATTCAGATGATTATGAATGAATACTGCTTCAAATAATTAAAAAGATAGGCCTATTGATAACGGGGCACAATTAGTACCCATGGAATTCCAAAAGATTATTGGAAGATTCATGTCTTCAATTTGAAACTATCTAGATAATGTCGAACTTTTCAACTTCGGAGTACTTGTGTGTACATTCATTATTTTTTAGTTTAATTTTTCGTAGGAAACGGTTGTATAAAGTTTTGAAAACTCATTCCTTATGGGGATTTTGGTAGAAATTTGCAATTTCAAATTTTCTGAAACGTCCTCGAGCTTTTTTTAAGTATCCAGAATTGGTAAGTATAACCTTTCGAATACCAGTACGTTCTAGTACACTACTCCTGAACTGCTGTTTACTATTTTGGTGAGGAATAAGGAAAGATGTTTTGTATCGAAGAAAAACTACTGGAACCTGCTCTGTATCTTTGCTAGTAGGATTTCTTTTTATTAAACAGGATAATTCAGATTCTATTTGACGGTTGAGAATTAAATTGACATCTTAAGAATTTAACTCATTGGAAAATGAACTTTGAGTATAAATATTATTACCATTTGCTAAAACAAATTCAAACTCCACGAATTATAGGTAAAATTTCTTACATTTCGGACATTTTTAAAGTCATAGACGGCGTATTTTTGATAAGTTTAGACTAACTAAAATTAAAAAAGATCGTTCTATAAATTTGTAATTTTACTTTATATAAATATGGGACTTTCCTGTAAATTACACAATTTAAATCAATTGATTTTCATAGATATCCGAGATTTAAAACAATAACCGATTTATTTCAGACTCTAATGAAAATATCAGACTCAGTTTAAAGTCAATTTAACCTATAGAGACGTGGGGATATTTAAGTTCAAAACCGGTAAAAAAAAATTTAATACCAGATATGAACGTAGATGGCAAATACCATCTGAATCTACACTATAGTTTTAATCCTGTATTTTCATTTTCTAGCTCAGATACGCCATGCATGTATTCATAGCTTTTAAAAACTTTTTTCATTTTGTTTATTAGCTCCCTTTTTCAAAAAACGATAAGTACTAAGTCCCTCATGCTTTTTTTCCCTTAAAAGTTCATGCACATACAAAACAAAAGTACAATAGAATTTGAATGTCATTTTATGAAATGCTGTATTATCTGTGCTAATGAGATACATGTATGTAAAAGTCATTGACTGATTTCAAATTAACCTAGTAAAACTACGTGGATTGATATTTTTATTGACGACAAGGTTATTAGATTTCGGTGAGTATCATGACTTTTAAGATATTGTAATAAAAAAAATTGGTCTGACCAATTATTAAAATACTTCTGAATTTATTTCGTATATATAAGGTAATTTTATAATGAAAAATGCACATGCACATACAAAACAAAAGTTTAATAGTAATTGAATGTCATTTTATGAAATGCTATATTATCTGTGCTACGTGAATAACCAAGGTACATATGTATGTAAAAGTCATTGACTGATTTCAAATTAACCTAGTAAAACTAAGTGGATTAATATTTTTATTGAAGACAAGGTTATTAAATATCGGTGAGTATCATGACTTTTGCGATATTGTAATAAAAAAAAAAAACAACAATATTATTTTGGTTACTTTTCGAACACCATTTCTTTGTCGTCACCGAAAGACTAGGGTAAAGTTAGTCCGAAAATCTGACGTTTTCAAGTTTTTTTGTGACGATTTTGATGTTTTACATGCCAGAAAAATTTTCCTGGCTCGTAAAATATCAAAATCGTAAAACATTGAAATAGTTAAATTGTCTGGAAAACGTCAGATATTTTGAGGTTTTGGGGCCGGAGTATATTTTAAAACTCACTGATATCTACAAATCT